ACCGAAAGCAGATTATTTCATTATCATAATTAACATGTATGTACATTGAAGAAAGTGCAAACGTTGTTCTTTTGGGTTAATTTGGGGCATACTAGAGTATTCCCATGATATTTTTGCATATATTATGTCCAATGTTTTTACGACTAGGTTGATTCAAATATTTGCATTTATTCTCATAAAAAGAAGTATCGTTTAACTAAATGTGCCTACCTAGATGATTCAAGGTAATCTTGTGCGTTAATCTATGTAAAAAAACATTATAATTATTCATGCACTAGGCTACTAGAGTGGCCCAGGGTCACTTGCCCGCCCGGGCAAAAAAACTAAAACTAAAAATATTATTTTTAAATTTTATTTTTTATTCCAAAKTTGGTRAARAAWTTCGATTTGACCCTGAGMCAAAAGTTGTTTAGTTTATTTTTCTGCACAACATAGTKTTTTTTWTAKWTTTTTTTTTTTTTTTTTTTTTTTGYTKGGACCTTTCTGGTTCTTCCACGGGCTGGTCACCCAGAACCCGGGCGGCCCGGCTGGTAGCCTAGTTCATGCATGAAAAAAAATTATACTTTGTTTCTTTATATGATAACAATTTTTTGTTCAACGGTGGTTCGTTTGACCAATGTGTCAATTTAAAAGATAGATTGACACAAATAATTATATGTTTGTTAAAAAAATATACTTTTACCCCTGACAATAACCTCTTCTTTTGTAAGCTTACAGGATACAAGCTAGCTTGTCACACTTATCGAGAATAATGTACAATAATGTTGAATAATCTTCTTTCCGCGATTGCAATTTTTCATATATTGTAGCTCGCGCCTTAGAGGCAATGATTAAAAAATGAGCTTCAATGCAGCATGCTTTGAGCTCCTGGGAAATTATACCCAGGTTGGTCGGCATGCAAACCCCCTTGAGCTACAGCTTAGGGAGTGATACTTACTTGGTTGATGTGACTGGGTACACTGGGTCATGGCTGTATGTGACGTACTGACCATGTTGGGGTGGGGTTAAGTGCTCATCTCGGGCCTTAAGTTCATCCCAGCTCACTTTGCCAGGGGGTAAGCATTCTGATTTTCAATCAGCAGGTTGCAGGTTCTTTGCCCTGAGGGAGCGATTGCGATTTTCAAATATTGGAGTTCGCGCCTTGGAGGAAATGATTAAAAAATGAGTTTTTTTTTTGTAAGCTCTACTAATACTTAAAGGCAAAAGCGGTCCTCGGAAGACGCTCCCACAGGACCAGGGAAAAGGAGTCCCGCGCTTTGGTTGGATAGGACAGGCGCTGTGCAACGTTTTGTTTTGTTTTGTTTTTTATCGTTTACTGCACACTTTTTCACGGCCCACTTTGCAAGGCGCGGGTTCGAGGGCTTCGAATTCACTTCGTTTTCCACGTTCTTAATTTTTGGGACAGGCGCTGTGCAACATTTCGTTTGTTTTTTTTTTTTCTCGTTTAGTGCACACTTTTTCACGGCCCGCTTTGCAGGATGCGGGTTCGAGGGTTTCAATTTTTTGGGATAGACGCGTTTCCTACGGTCTTTTTTGGGGGGCAGGCGGGCGCGCGTTGGGCCGCGCCGACGATTGCAGAAAGTGTTGTCCCGCAGGTGTCGGGCAGATTCAACCAGGGAGTGTACATTTCTATGTTCTAGCGAAAGATTCGTTCGATTTTGCTCATCCTATCATGGAAGTAGTGTGACGCCAGCCGCGAGGTTGGAGAATTACCTATTCTCTCTCTCTCTCTCTCTCTCTCTCTCTCTCTCTCTCTCTCTCTCTCTCTGTGTGTCTCTCTCACAGACACATAGAAAAAAAAAAAAAAAAGAGAAGTGGGAGTGTATATTTCCATGTTCTGGTGGAAGATTCATTTCGATTTTGCTCATCCAATTGATGGAAGTAGCCTGTCTTTGTCTCTCTGCGTGCATGGCTGGAAAACTCTCTCTCTCTCTCTCTCTCTCTCTCTCTCTCTCTCTCTCTCTCTCTCTCTCTCTCACACACACACACA